ATGAGTGGGATCTACTTATGAAAACTCATCCACTGAGAACCCTGTGGGCACAGTTCTACTCTGACACACACGGGGGCACCATGAGTGGGATCTACTTATGAAAAATCATCCACTGAGAACCCTGTGGGCACAGTTTTACTCTGACACACACGGGGCACCATGAGTGGGATCTACTTATGAAAAATCATCCACTGAGAACCCTGTGAGCACAGTTCTGCTCTGACCACATGGGGGCGCCATGAGTGGGATCTACTTATGAAAAATCACCCACTGAGAACCCTGTGGGCACAGTTCTACTCTGACACACACGGTTTTCCTCTGGCACTATAAGACAGAGTCCCCCTCACTGCCATTGGCTAAACAAGTGTGTTAGGGTGTAGGTTTTACCACCCTGCCTCCCCCAGCCCTTCAGTCTCCTGATCTCCCCTCATAGGGGGCTCCTGGAAGCAGGCTGCATAGGTCCTTCCAATGTCCCTGTGTATATACTCACTGGGCACCCTTTTCTGCACTGGATGGTAAGTGGTGGACAGGGTCCCCTGTCACCCCACTTGGACAGGCCTGTGTCCATGCCTGTGTGGATTCTAGGACATGTCTGGCGCATCCTTTGCCCGACCACTTCCCTGGGGACGGGTTTGCGATGGTTTTCCTATAGCTCCTTTCAGCCTGTTTTATCAAGGTAGAAATAGGGTCATTTCTGCTTCCTTTTTCTTGGCATTTGCCTTCATATAAGGAGCCCCGGTGGTGCAGCGGGCCAAGTGTTGGATACTTACGGAAAAGTTAGCAGTTTGAACCCACTTGATGAGGCAGTCTGCTTCCGTAAAGATTAAAGTCTTTAATCTAGGAACCGTATGTTGTGGCTCGACCCTGTCCTGCAGAGCTGCTGTCCGTCAGAACCCACTAGGTTTTGGTTTTGGTCTAGCCTTGTATATATATCTTCTTGTTGTTATTAAATAAATGCCAACTCATAGCAACCCTGTATGAGGTATCCAAGGAGCAGCTGGAGGGTTTGAACTGCTGACCTTGTGGTTAGCAGTATGGTGCCACACCAGGATTCTGTCTACACGGCATAGGATAAATACTTAATGCACAGGTTGGTTTGAGCCTCAAGGCTGGCAGGTCCAACTCATTTAGCTGCTCTTTGGAAACTCTCTACTGGGTTGCTATGGGTCAGGACTGACTCGATAGTACTTAACAACAACAACATATATATATATATGTATATGTTGTTGTGTTCAGGTGCCATCAAGTCGGAACCGAGTCATAGCGACCCCATGCACAGCAGAACGAAACACTGTCGGATCCTGGGTCAACCTCACTACTGCTGCCACACTTGAGTCCATCAATGATGCCACCTGGCCAATCCATCTTGTTGGGGGTCTTCCTCTTTTTCTCTGACCCTCCACCTTACCCAGCATGACATCCTTCTCCAGCGACTGTTCTCTCCGGACAATGTGTCCAAAGTATGAGAGACGAAGCTTAGCCATCCTGGCCTCCAAGGAGCACTCTGGTTGCACTGCTTCCAAAACAGATCTATTGGTTCTTTTGGCAGTCCATGGCACTTTCAGTATTCTCCTCCAACACCACAACTCAAAGGCATCAATTCTTCTACGATCTTCCTTATTCACTGTCCAGCTTTTGCATACACACACACACACACACACACGTGTAGACACATGTATACATGTGTACACATAATACAGAGTCCTGGTGTTCTGTTGTAGGATACATACTGGATCGCAAGGTCAGTTTGAACCGGAGGGTTGGCAGTTCAAACTCACCACCTACTCCTCAGAAACCCTGTACAGGGTCACTATGAGTCAGAACCAACTTGAGGGCACCGTCGTTATCGACTCCATGGCACATAACAACAACAATAGCAACAACATATATATATATATATATATATATATATGTGTGTGTTGTTGTTATTCAGTGTCACCAAACCGGTTCCCCCTCTGTATTGGATTTCCAAAGAGTGACTGGTGGATTTGAACCGCCAATCCTATATGAGCAGTTCTGTGCTTATCCTACAGAACCACACAAGAACTAACTCCATATGCACACAGATATACATGTCAGGGACCGGCCTCGACAGGGAAGTTTGGTTTACAAAGTAGGGAGATCTGGCGGCAAAAGAGATAGAAAAAGAATACACACAAAGACGCAATGAGAGAGACAAAGAGACACCCCGAAACCAGAGTGGATGCAAGACTGGCGGGCAGACCCTGGATTGCAGGCATCATGGCCCCTGCAGGCAGTAATGCACGCAGGTTTCGGTCTGCGTCCGTCTTTTATTTCAGGGAGGGATTTTACACAAAGGAAGAAGAAGGGGATTATTAAAACAGGTTACACATTAACCTGTTTTTTAATGTGATTAATCGTTCAAAACAGGACACAATGATTTACAGGAACAAATTCTAAAATATACATTGTAAATTGTCTTAATAATCTAACATCCTTAATTTTCCAAAAATTCAAGCAAACTGTTATAAATTACTTTTTAGGCTCAAATCCTAAGGCAGTGACTCGAGGTCTCTCAAGGCTAATTAACATACCTATAGCACTTAATCTCGAATGGGTAAAGGTGAAAAAGGATTTAAAAGGTCTGAAGAGAGTCAAGCTGTTTCAGCTGCCTGGCTTAGGCTTTCAGGAGGAAGAAGGACCTCTAGGTTAATGGATTACACCTGGGGACGATTTGAGGCGGTGGTTCTATTACTACTTGACCAATACTCCGGAATTTGCCAATCTACTTTGAGTGAATTCCTTGGGCGGATTGTCTCCAGAGCCTCTTTGCGGAATCCCAGCAAACTTGCCTTTGGAACTTTTATGGCCTCGGCTTTAGAAGAGGTTTTTGTTTTAATATTTGTCCATGGGTATACAGGGCTTATGTATTAAGTTAATATCAAACATAACTGAATAATTTGATAAAGAACAGTTTGGACATGCTTGCCAGGTGGCCAGAGCTTGTCCCTCAGAAAGATTTGTTCCCAGGACCTTACGCACTGCCAACACAGTGGAGACATTAAGAGAGGCACGTAAGAAATCATTTTCTCAGAAGCTACAGTTACTAGAGTTAGAAGCATAGAATGACTAATAAGATCAAAGAAAATTATACAGAGCTAGCCCAACAGTGAGTTAGCAAAAACCAATGAACCCGGGACGTCAGCAGGTCACTTCTTGGCCCTCAGGGTCCCTGTGAACCCGGGATGTAGGAGGTAACTTCCTTTAGCCCTCAGGGTCCCTGGCTAGCCATCCTGAGCGGGGCCATTGTGTAGGATTTTCATCCATGACACAGGGCCTCAACATCTCAGTGTGTTGCTGTCCCCAACATATACAGAGTCTTAATGTGGGTCTGTAAGATAAGCACTGAACTGCTAACCACAAGTTTGGTGGTTCACATCCACCAGCTTCTCGGAAACCCTATATAGGGTTGCTGTGAGTCTGAACCACCTCAACAGCACACAACAACATACATATATACACATATCTACTTGTACAAACATATACATACGTGTAATTGTGTTGTTGTTGGTAAGTGCCACTCAGTCGTTTCCTATATAGGGTTTCCAAGTCACAGCTGGTGGGCTTAAACCACTGACCTTGTGGTTAGCAGTCTAATGCTTATCCTGTGGCACTACACCAGGACTCCACATGTACATAATTACACGTGTGCACATATACACACATATATACATAGCATACTTATATCCACACATGCATACACACACACAATATACACATGTATGGAAGTCCTGGTGTGGCATGATGGGGTTAAGTCCTCAACTGCAAGGTTGGTTTGAACCTCAAGGTGGGCTGTTCAAATATACCAGCCACTCCTTGGAAACCTTATACAGGGTTGCTGTGAGTCGGAACCAACTCCAGGGAACTTAACAACAACAATACTCACGCATATACATAGATACACAAATACCCATGTGTGCACATGTATTCATACAATCCTGGTGTGGTACTGTGGGATAAGCACTGGACTGCTAACCACAAGGTCGGTGGTTCAAACCCACCAGCCACTCTTTGGAGACTCTATACAGGGTGGCTATGAGTCAGAACTGACTTCACAGCACCTAACAGCTGTGTGTGTGTGTGTGTGTGTACACATACACACACACACATATATTTACATTTGTTGTTGTTTTAAAAATAGTTTTTAGAGCAGTCTTTTACACAGAAGTTCCTGTAACTTCTTGTGTTCCTGTGAAACATTTGTTACAATCGATGAGCCTCTCTTGATACATTGTTACGAACTAAAGTCGGCTTCCTGGGTGGGCTCATTCTCTGGGCTGTGTGAATCTTCACAGGGACATTGAGTCATGTGTCCACCAGGCAGCAATGGCCTGCAGAATCGTATCCCTGCCCAGACCATGTCCTGGGCACTTCCTGTCCAGTCCCTGGCCGCCGCTGAGGTGTTCCCAGTCTTTAGTTTTGCCTTTTCTGAATTCCTGCGTGCACTTGGACTTGTACACAATGTTGCTTTTTCGAGCTAGCTCCTTCCACTTAACAATATGTTGTTTAAGGTTCCTCTTCCTCTTTGGGTCTTGAGAGCTGGTTTCTTTGTAGGACTGCAGAATGCTCCCCGTGTAGATGAACATTCTACAACATGCTTCTCCTTACATATGATATGAGAACCTTGTGGGTTTCCTTAAAGGCCCCGGGGACGTTATGTAAAAGCAGAATGAATGTAGGGTCTCCAGAGCCGCAGTCTGCCGGCCTCTGGTGTCCTCTCTCCTCAGCCCTCATCTGCTTTCTCCTGCAGGCCCGTGATGCATCGGAATGTCCGCTACAACTGCAGGGTGATCTTTCTGAACAGGTGAGGCCTCCTGCCTGCCTGGGGAGCATGGTGGGCTCACCCTTCAGCTGTCCCGACTCAATCTGGCCTTCGGGGTGGTAGCCAGACAGTGGTCCCTGAAGGCCCAATACTGGTCCCTCTGGTCTCTCTCAGGAGTCTGAAGAATCAGTGTTAACTGAGTTACCGTACAATTGAGTGTTAACTCAATCACACTCGTACAATCATCATTCACTCAGAGACCAATTGCTGCAAAATGAAAGTACACTTCAGAGGGGAAGTGGGTCTGTCTCCACGATTAAGCACAGTTTTCTCTTCCTGGCTCCAGGTGCCCTCCCTCAGGGGCAGGGCTGATGCTGACCCTCACTAATGACGTCTGAGTAAAGGGGAGGAATATTTATTTGAGTTTTAGTAGTAGAGAGGTACAGACTTCTCCGAAACGGGGTGCTATCCTGTCTGTTTTCTCTGTGACTGCCCGCTCTGGGCACCTTTGTTTCTGATTGGTTGGCTCTGCTCCAGGGTTTGACCACTAAGGTTCTTTCTTTCTGTGATTGGTGGTTTTTCTAGTACTTTGTGCTATTTTCTCTACTAGGCTCCTAGGCCCTGCTTCCATTCTTCCTTATGGGAACTCCCGTGTGCTAACTGCCCAGTTCCTACCCTGGCCCTTCCTCTCACCCTACCCCGCTGACCTCTCCTGGGAATACCAGCCTTTAGTGAAAGGCCAACCCTGGTTGTGCCATGGTAAAGTACTGGGGCTGCTAAGTCAAAGGTTCACACCCACCTGGTGGTTCTGTGAAAGAAAGAGCTGAACATCTGCTTCTGTAAAAGATGAAAGTTGGCTGCTGTCGGCCAATTCGATTCTTCGCAGCCCTGAAGGACAGACTGACACTGTGCTTAGGGTTACTGAGGTCGCCATTACGGAAGCAGACTGACTCATCTTTCACCCTCAGAGTGGCACCACTGCTGGGTTTGAACTGCCAGCCTTTTGTTTATCAGGCTAGCACTTTAACCTCCTTGTTGTTGTTAAGTGCCGTCAAGTCGATTCTGACTCACAGAGGCATTGCATAGGGTCTCTGAGGCTGTAAGTCTTTATAGGAGCAGGAAACCTCAGTTTCCTCCCTTGGGGCGGCTGTGGGATTCGAACCGCCAGCTCCGTGGTTAACAGCCCAGTGCATAACCCACAATGCCACTGGGGCTCCTCTATAAAAATGGCTGCTTAGTGGGGTCTTAAGAAGTGAAGAATAGCTTATTCAGCTCCAATAGCAGCTACAGTGAGAGCCAATGGTGACGCTTCAGGCAGGTGACGCTTCAGGCAGGTGACGCTGGCGTCACTGCTGCTCTGGCTCTGCCTCACTTGGTACAGAGAACCAGATTGGGTGGGCTTGGGGGCGCATGTTCTGTTGCCTGGAACTCAGTCTAGGCGAGGGAAGGTGTGTCATGCTCTCTGTGGAGACCCCAGGCATCAGCTGCCAGCAGACCCACCTGCTGGGGAGGGGGGTCATCAACCCCCCCCCCCCCCACCATCATTATCTTCATTATCATCACTGTCAGAGGCACCGGTGGTATTGGGACAGGAAATGGAAGCCCATTGCCTCCCACTTGGAGCTGCCATCACAGAAACACCACAAGGGGATGGTCTTTAGGAACAGAAATGTATTTTCTCACAGATTGGGAGGCTAGAAGTCTGAATTCAGGCCACTGGGTCTAGAGGAGATGCTCTTTCTGTCTCTCACTCTGTCACTATGGGGGGAATCCTTGTCTCTTTCACTTTCCCTTCCTGTTTGCCTAATCTGCTCCTTATATATTTCAAAAGCAACTGGTTTAAGAAACACCTACACTAACAGCCTCATTAACATAACAAAGAGAACCGGTTTCCAGTGGGATGACACCCACATGGTTTCACAATATATGTTTTGGGGGACAGATGCTTAGCTCCCAAGGAAGGACTGCGATTTGCTGGGAGCCCTGGTTCCCTGGTAGCTGTACATTGGCCGCCCCATCCTGCCCTCCTACTCCTTGTTGATGGGTGCCTTAGTCCCAGGATCACGTGGTGAGCAGCCTTGTCCCCACCACAGGAAGATCCTGCTCATCCGCCCCAAAATGGCCTTGGCGAATGAAGGCAATTACCAGGAGCTACGCTGGTTCAGCCCGTGGTCCAGGAGCCGGTGAGTCAGGGTGACTGGGTGGTTGCTGGGTGGTTACTGATTCCTCATCTTCCCTGGATGCAGGTATCAGATCAGGGAGATGCGCAAGAACACTGCTGGTTGAATTGTACCGAGCTGATCCCAGATCATGTAAAACTCCCTGTCCTCAGCTTGAAAGGTGTGCTGAGTGAAGTTAAATCTGACACATCAGGACAGGTGCCCCCTTATGATCTCATGCATATGAAAGGCGGGTACCAAAGCTTATGATGGTCAGCAGTTCAAATCTACCAGCCGTTCCGAGGAAGAAAGATGAGGCTTTCGGCTCCCGTAAAGATTTATAGCCTTGGAAACCCTGCCTAGGGTTTCTAAGAGTCAGAACTGACTTAATGGCACTTAACAACAGTCTTTTATTATGGGGGCCACCCTGTGCACTGTGGGAGGTTCAGCAGCACCCGGGGACTCTACCCACTGATACCAGCCAATTGGGGCAAACAAAAATATCTCCAGGCCATGGCCACGAGCGTATTTTGACCAGACTTGAAACACAGCATCAGGAACGCTCTCTCACTAGGAAAGGGCGGTATGGGGTCCTCTGCATGAGGTGGGCACAGTGACCATATTCATGAGCACAAACCGGTAAACCGTGGTGGGTTCTGGTTGGCACAGCATTGCCGTGAGGTGGACCTGATGCTGTCGTGACATCGTTTCTCCATTGACAAGTAGATCCACAGGATCCACTGGGAACAGACCACACAGAAAGGGTTCCATCCAAGAGACAGGTGACGCAAGAACCCCCAACTCCGCAATGTCACATGTCAGTTGCCCCAGAGTTTGGTCAAATTTATTGTTCTACTTTCTGTTTTTTAAAATGATCATTTATGGCATCATGTGAACCCTTGACAAGAGCCCCAGTTGTGCACTGGGTTAAGTCTTGGGATGCTAGGTCAGTGGTTCAAACCCACCAGTCACTCCTCGGGAGAAAGATGAGGCTGTCTGCTCCCATAAAGATAGATTTACAGTCCTGGGAACCCAACGGGGCTCTTGTACTTTGTCCTATAGGGTCACTGCGTGGCCTCTACTGTGTCCTATAGGGTCACTGCGGGGCCTCTTACTGTGTCCTATAGGGTCACTGCGGAGCCTCTACTGTGTCACTGTGGGGGGGAATTGACTTGAGAGCAGTAGGTTTTGGTTTTCCCGTCTTGGGTGTACTGTAGGTTTTTCTGTGTCTTGTTATTATTTAAGGATACCTAGTGGTGCAGCAATTAAATGCTCAGCTGTTAGCCTGCAGGGTGGTGGTTCAAACCCACCTGCCGCTGTGCAGGAGAACAGTGGAGCAGTTGGCTTCCGCAAGGACTGGCCACCTTGGACACCCCATGGGGCAGTTCTCCTCTGTCCTACCAGGTTGTTGTCAGATGGAACCAACTCGATGGTAGTGACTGGAAATGCTTGTCTGTTTCTCCCTGGATTCCTTTAGCCAGAAGCTTCCAACTTGAGTTTTGTTTGGGTTTCGATGCCCTCCCTGGTTTTCCCAGACCTGTGGTACTTTTCTTTCCAGACAAGTGGAAGAGTATTTCCTCCCCCGGATGCTCCAGGACCTGACAAAGCAGGTGAGGCTGGTTCAGACTCTGTTTCCAGCTGGGTGGACATTATAGATTCCGGCTCCCGGTGGACAATGTGGGCAGGGGCTCTTTGGGATCGGAGTCACAGACGCCACAATCCTGCTGTTGTTGGGAGATCCTATTGAGTTGGCACCAACTCATGCCACCCTGCCCATCTTCACAGTCCGTGGTGCGTCTGAGTACGTTTTGTGATTTTGGTTATGGTCCTGGTGTGGCGCTGTGGGTTAGTGCACTGGACTGCGAAGCCGTTTGAACTGCAAGGTTGGTGATTCAAGCTCACCAGCTGCTCCTCGGAAACCCTATACAGGGTGGCTATGGCTTGGAACCAACTCGATGGCATTTAACAAGAACAGCAACAAAAACCTCTCACTAAAGGCATCCCTCGTTCTCACTGAAGCGCTACTATCAACTGTCTCAGTTCTCTAGAGCTGCTATGACAGAAATCCACAACGGGATGGCTTTAACAAACAGAAATTAACTTTCTCACATTTTGTTGTTGTTAAGGTCAAGCTCATAGTGACCTTATTATATATAACAGACGAAACACTACCTCGTCTTTCACCAACCTCACAATCACTGCCACTGGGTCAATCCATCTCGTTGGGGGTCTTCCTCTTATCTGTTGACCCTCTACCTTACCAAGCATGATGTCCTTCTCCAGGACTAGTCCCTCCTGATAATATGTCCAAAGTATGAGAGACAAAGGCTGGCTTTACTGGTTTCTAAGGAGCACTCTGGCTGCACTTCTTCCAACACAGATCTGTTGGTTCTTCTGGCAGCCCACGCCACTTAAAATATTCTCCTCCAACACCACAACTCAACAGTCTTCCTTGGTCACTGTCCACAGTTTAGGGGTCTACAAGTCCAAATTCAGGGCTCCTGCTTCAAGAGGCTCTGGGGGAAGCTCCTTGTCTCTTTTCAGCTTCTGTGGGCTCAGGTCCCTTGGGGATTTCCTTATGTCCGGGCATCCATCGTTCCCCGAGTCTAGGAGGTTCCCAGCGCACAGACCTGGGTCCAAAGGTTCTCTGCTCCCAGCTCTTGGGCCTTGTTTTTTCTTTTTGTATATAGTTCCTTTCGTTTATCTATTTTTAACTTTTTGTTGTGATTCAGGTGAAAGTTTACTAAATAAAATAATTTTCCATTCCACAATTCATACGCATTTTTTTTTCATGGCATTGATGGTAATTTCCGTAGTGTAGTGAGAACACTTTCCAACTTCCTCACTGTCCTTTTCGATTCCATTCTTCCTTCTTCCTAACCCTTCGACTTTTCTTGCTGAAAAAACCTTTGTTTTGTGAATTGACTGAAGGCTTACAGAGCAGACCATCAGTTTTGCATTCAGCAAATCTCAGCCTTTGCTTCATTACAATGACCGCAGCTCCCTCCACATTGCCATCGGTTAGCAGTGTTTACCTGTACTGCCTTTCACTCCTCCCTGTGTCTTCCAACTGCCTTCATTCTTCCTCAGCCAGCTCTTCATTCTTGATTGGTACTGATCTTCGCTGCCAATCCTGCCTCATTAACATCATCATTAACAACATGTTAATAACAACAATATTTGTTGTTGTTGTTAAGTGGCTTCGAGTCAGTTCCCACTCATAGATACCCTGTAGGGAGGTTCCAAGTTTGAACCGCCAACCTTGCCACTAGCAGTCCAGTGCTTGTCTTACAGCCCCTCACCAGGACTCCATTAACATGAGAGCGTGCACTTAGGAGTCACAACACATAAGAGAATCACTTTGGATCACAAAGTGGAGGAGGATTGCATAAGACTAAGGATCGTAGATAACCCAGCCAAGTTGACACATATTTTGTGGGGTGCAGGGAAACGCGATTCTATCCACACCACCTACTGTGATGTCATCTTTTAGTGACAGATTTTTCATAATGAAATGTCCAAAGTGAGTGAACTTTGAAGTCTCTCCATCCTCGCTTCTAAGGAACCTTCCAGCAGTATGCCTCCTAAGACTGGTTTCTTGGCTCTTCTGGCAGTCCACGGTATAGGCAGTGTCCTCACCAACACCACAGTTTGAATGCATTCCGTTGCGGTTTTCAGTGGTGGATTCTTCAGAAAGGTTGCCAGGCATTTCTTCCGAGGCACCTCTGGATGGGTTGGAGCCTCTTTTTGGTTGGCAACTGAGTACCTTAGGTTCAAACCCACCAGCCCCTCCCCAGAAACCCTATACGGGGTCTCTATGAGTGTGTACCCCTCGAGGGCTCCTTCTGTAGTTACGTTGTTACCCATTGCTGTTTTGCCATCCCCGATTCACAGCGTTCCCACGTGTGTCAGAGTAGAACTGCACTCGGCAGGGTTTTCAGTGATTGAATTTTCACAAGTAGATCACCAGGCCTTTATTCTGAAGCACCTCTGGATGGATTCAAACCTGGTTTCGGTTGGCTGCTGAGTGTGTTCACTCTTTCCAACCCCCTTGCCTAACTTTGCTTTGTGACTCACACCTGCCTCGATGGTGCCTTATGTTAGCCTACAGTTGTCTCTCTCTTAGCGCCTGGCTCCTTCACCAGACTGAAATCCCCGAGCGTGGAGGTGGGTTTTATCGCTCAGTCTCCAGGAACCACCAAAGGTCACAGTGAAGAGGGGAGTAGTGAATGAGTGAGCAAACACAGCATGGACATAGAGGGGTTCCTCAGTTTGCCATCCAGCGCCCACTGTCTGGAGAGGACACTGTGGCAGCTCGCGTAGCGTGGTGTGGCATTGACTGGGGCGGGGTCTCATGTGCACCTTCCTCCCCACTGCAGAAGACTGTCCCTTTTGGGGATGCTGTGCTGGCCACAAGGGACACCTGCATCGGCAGCGAGATCTGCGAGGAGCTCTGGACACCCCGCAGGTCAGCCCCATCCCCGGCCAGGCCACTCTGGACAGGGGTTTGGAAATGCCTGGGTCATGGCTTTGGTGGCCTGCAAGTTGCAAGGAAACAGTGGTCCATCCTCTCCCTCACCTCTGCTCACAGCCCGCACATCGACATGGGCCTGGACGGTGTGGAAATCTTTACCAACGCCTCGGGCAGCCACCACGTGCTACGCAAAGCCCACGCCAGGGTGGACCTGGTCACCATGGCCACCACCAAGGTAGGTGAGGGTGGAGGGGTACACCATGGGGCGGGGGATGGGCTCAGGGTCCAGCCCACACAGTACCACTCCCAGCACTTGGAACTGAGATAGCCACTGCTGCTTTGGGCTGAAATTGCATCCCCCAAAGCCTGTAGAATCTGAACCCCAATAGACATGAATAAGAGCGCTGGTGGTGCCATGAGTTAAGTGCTGGGTGGCAAACCAGGAAGTCAGTGGTTTGAACTCACCAGCCACTCTCGGAGAGAAAGATGAGGTGGTGTGCTTCTGTAAAGACTGACGGTCTCAGGACCCTACGTATGAGTCGGAACTGACTGGACAGCAGTTAGGGAGATCTCTGCGGCTGAGCTCCTGTTTGGGAATCAGGTTTTCTTTGTTATATTGTGAAGCCACATCCACGTAGTGGTTCTGTAGGGGATCCACTGGGCTGTGGGCCACAGGAGAATCCCCAGCCTCGGAAACCCCATACAGGCTTGCTATGAGTCGGATTTAACAACTGTAATGGTTCCCACGCGTGTGCGTCTTAACACATTGGGAGATATAAAAGGAGCGGATTCAGCCCAAAAGTCAGACGTGCAGGCAGTGCATGCTTAGCGGAGATTGTCAGGGTGCCGAGGGCCAGAAGCAGAGCAGACCAGGGCCTTCTGCCCTGAGTTTTGGCTTCCCGTCTCCAAACAGAGGAAAACTCTACTTTTGAGGTGCTTGTATGTCAGAGACAAGAGGGGACAAACACAGCAAGGACTCTGCAAGCCTGCACCACAGACCCCGGGGGCTGGACACAGACAGCCACCAAGGGGCAGGCTCTTGTTGTCCCCTCTAGAACAGGGCTGGTATGGTCAGTGAGGTGCGGCACCCAGCCTGCAGTACCTCTGAGGTCTGACTGCAGACGGTGATCACATGACCCTGGGTCATGCCCACAGGTAGAGGTTTAGGATTCCAGCACACATTCTAAACCCCCTCTGTCATCGAGTGCATTCTGACTCAGCAATCCTGCAGGACAGGGTAGAACTGCCCCAGAGGCTTTCCAAGACCGTCCATTTTTACGGGAGCACGTGACCTCATCATTCTCCCAGGGCGTGGCTGGTGGGTTTGAACTGCCGACCCAGAGGTTAGCAGTCCAATGTTCCCAGTGCTTCAACCACTGCATCTTCAGGGATTGTAGGTGGATACGGTTCGTCCCATGACTGACGGACTCAGCGCAGTCCCGTCCCACATCTCAGGGCTGGTTGGGAGGCAGAAGTGGACATCCTGTGTGAAAGCTGATGGGAGGCTGGTGGACGGCTCTTGCCCTGATGCTCTAGAACCCTGTTGTTGTAAAGTGCCGTTGAGTTTTTCTGACTCATTAGCGACGCTGTATAGAGTTTCCGAGAAGTGACTGGTGGGTTTGAACTGCCGATCTTTTGGCTAGCAGTCGGGTGCTGATTCTATAACTCCACACAGGGCTCCCTAGCTCCTTGGAGGTGGGCACGTTCCTTGTTGTGAGAGGGGATTGTCTGACTTGGTGGGGTAGGGATGGGGAAGAGGAGCTGCCAAAGTCTGTTGGGTCAACTGTCACACTGCCGCCACACCCCCTTTTCCAGAACGGTGGCATCTACCTGCTGGCCAACCAGAAGGGCTGTGACGGGGACCGTCTGTACTTTGATGGCTGTACCACCATCGCCATGAATGGCAGCATCTTTGCGCAGGGCGCGCAGTTCTCCCTGAACGATGTGGTAATGTCCCTGTACTCTCCCCTCTGCTCGGGTGTCCTGGGGAGGGGGGTAGGGACCTCAGACCTCGGCCTTCTCGTCCTGGAGGCTCCCTGGGTGGCACTGGTTGGGGGACTGAATTGCATTGTGCGAGAGATGCCCTTACTGTCAGAGGACTCGTGGGACAGACCCCAGAAAGGGGAACAAGGTGGAGAGCAAGCCGGGGTCCACAGTCCCAGTTGGCTGACCATTTGGTCCACTTAGAGACGGGGCCACAGAACCCTTTGAGATGCTGCTGAAAGCTCTGCACACAGCTTCTAAAGTTGGCGTGTGCTGCCAGTGGATTCTGACTCAGGAGACCCCACATGTCAGAGTAGACTGGGCCCTCAGGGTTCCCTCGGCGGTCATCTTTACGGAGGGGAGGACACTGTCTCTGGACTAACTCCCACGGCGTGGCTGGGTGGATTTGAATCACCAACCTTTCTATCAGTAGTCAAGTGCTTACCTGTTGTGCCTCCGGGGCTCCTTTTTCTACTTATTTTATTAATGTGCTGCTTCTAAAGATCCATAATAGTATGTACAGCAGTTAGCTGGTCCAGCAGTTAGTCTATCCCATGGTTAACCCATTCTTTGATTATCCTATCCAGCAGTTAAGTGCTGTCGAGTCGGTTTTAACTCATAGCAACCCTGTCACGGGTTTCCAAGGAGGGGCTGCCAAGTTTGAACGGACCTTGTGGTTCATACTGACCTTGCGGTCCAATTCGCTATCCTATAGTACCTCACCACGGCTCTAATATGTAAACTTATTTCATCTAATAATGCATTTTGTTTGTTAAGTGCCTTCGAATCATTCCAACTCATAGCGACCCTATATAGGGTTTCCAGGGAGTGACTGGTGGCTTTGAACTGGCGGCGTACCTGATAGTGCCACACTGGTCATTAGTCTGTTATCCAGTGATTATCCTATCCAGTGGTTACCATGTTATCCAGCGGTTACCATGTTATCTAGTGGTTACCTTGTTATCCAGTGGTTACCATGTTATCCAGTGGTTA